CAGTGAATTACATTTTCCAAAATCAACTTTAATACTTTAATGGAGGCCAGTATTTTTAGGAGGTGTATTTTAATGAAGGATTCTTTTAGCTAATGTAATTTTTTATTTATAAATTATATCTTAATTTTTTTAAATTAAGTTATTAATAATTTGAAATTATTTTTTGGTAAATATAGAAAAATTACTAAACATAATATATTTATTTATATTAATTTTTAAAATATAATTTATATATTTAAGTATAGTATTATTTATATAATTTATTATAAATTTTAGTTATATATAATAAATAGTTAACTTAAGAAACGAGCTAAAATACTAGTTTTATATTATAAAAAAAAACGAGTAAAACAATTACTGAATTTTATGTGAATGAAAATACTTTTTTAATGTTAATAAATTAGAAAAACATATATGGAAATTTGTGAATATAACCTTTTTATATTGATCTTTAAATTAAATGTCAAACGTTTAGTATTTGAATATATATGTTTAAAAGAGTTTTTTTTCTGAAAATTAATAATTATTAAATATTTTATTAATTATACAATGATAAATTCATTAAGAAATATATTAATTTCTATTCAACCAATCAAACATAAAGTAATTATTAAAAATGAACAAATTTATTATATATTATTTTTAATAAGTTGTCATAACATAATATAGTTTACATAAGATTTTAAAAATAATTATTATAAAGGGTAAAGTTTTATCATTTATAAGAAATTTTAATTTATATAAAAAAAATTAACTTTTCATTAATTAACAATATAGTTATTATATACATTATATTTTGTCTCTAAAAATTGATGTTCAGAGTCTTTTTAGTATAAATTGTGATAATGATAATAAAATTTGAACTTTCAACTTTGTATATACTATTCTAAGTCAAGTAATAATTTCTTACAACTAAATAAATTATATGAATTACATGTAAATATAAATAATTAAAAGTTCTTGTCCCATGTGTTAAATCAAATAAACATCTTAATTCTACATATTGACTAATCTATATTTCTTTTTAAAGCAAAATACAGAAGTAACATTTTGTTACTTTTATCATTAAAACAAATTTAAAAAAAATTGTAATTTCTCCGATGATAATAATTAACAACGCGATTATATTTGTGATTCAAAAATGAGAAAATAAAATGGGCATAAGTATAAAATAATGGAATGAAAATGGCAACTTTATTGTTATTTACTAAGAGCTCATGTCCCGAAAACCCTAAAAACCCTAACCAAATGGTTCTTTATGAATGGGTGTCTTGCTGGCACGTTCTTTCTCTCACCGAGCTAAGTGCTAAATGACAAGACAAGAAACAGTGACTTTTCTCAGTTCTCGCTAGAAAATGGTTGAAAAAGTGCCCACTGGGAATAGGGCTTAAAATGACCATATTCATAATGACAATTGTACCCACCAGCATTCTAATAAGTAATCATATATTTTTTCCATGTTTTAAACTAATATGTGAATTTGTATTTTCATAGATGAATTATATATTTTTTTAATGTCAGAGATTAATATAAGAGTGTCTTTCAAATTTAAAAATCAATTTAAGTGTTTACTCAAAACTAATTGATTTCTATAATTAAAGATAATTTAATTTTAATTAAATATGTTCATGTCTATTAATTCTAAATCAACAAACATCATCCAAAAAAGATTCATCATTAAAAATGATGACCCAAAAATAAAAATAATTAACTATGAATTTAATAATGCTATCTTATTAAGTAAAAAAGTTATTTAACTTTTTCTTAAAAAAAAGTAGGTAGTTATTTAGCCCACACGTGCGATACATGCCTATATTTTCAGGTTTGTGGTTAAAATATTTGCACATTAGTATTGTAGTATTTCATAAGATAAATACTATTTTCTATATATATATATATATATATATATATATATTTATTTATTTATTTATTTAAGATAAGATAAACAATTTGTAATTTAATTAAAATTTTCGAAAGGATGTTAATAATTGACTTTAGTATTATATGACCTACTCTAATTTAAATTTTTGTATAAAAAAATAAAGTACTTCAACTATTAAAAAAAAATAGTATCTTTTTTGTTAAAAATAAGAAAGATTACAAAGATAGTTGCAATGAGAATTGAATTTAGGTCTTCATGCTTCTAATTATCTCAATCTCTCTCCATTCAACTACTAGGTTAACTCTAATAGTCTAAAAAAAATAGTATCTTAATTGTAATTTCCTACTTAAGTTGAAAATTGAATTTCAATTTTTAACTACAAAATACAAGTGTCTTATGCTATTATTGTTAAGAACTTATTTAGATATACTTTTAGAAGAAAAGAAAACAGGAAAGAAAATCAATATAAGATTCTCTACAACTAAAACTAATTTATTCATAAATTAAAAATAAATTTTTTAAAAAGTTAATAAGAGATAGTTTTTATACAATTTTTATATAAGCTAATTTTATCTTATAAAAAATAATTTTTTTTTCTTCTTATATTTCTCTTAACAGTGCTTTTAAAAAAAAACTTGTTCAAATAAGTCCTAATTAAATCTACTAAAGTTATTATTTATCGCGATTTGGTAGACCAACAAGAAGAGTGGAAGCACGAAGAACAAAATATGAGTCTCACGCTGAAAAAAAAATCATAGAAGTGGGAAGACGTGCGAATAAATCAAACATGATAACGTAATATATATATTGAGAGAGGAGGATCCGTTTAATGTATACATCAAGTTTACAAATTTTTAAAAAATCTGAAAATTATTTGATATTTCATTTTATTAATTTAAATTAATAGATAATCATAAAATCATGTTATACATTAATTTAAATAAATGAAACGAACTATTAAATAATTTTTAAATTTTTTTGAAATTTATAAATTTGATATATACATTAAGAACTTTAAATTCAACGGTTAGATTGTTAAAATTTGATGTAGAACATGAGTTATTGAACGGAGTAAGTCTAGATAGACCTACTCTTGAAATATATAAAAATGTTAACTTTAACTCTATTTTTCTTCAAATAAACAACAAATAGTTTTA